GGGAAACGCTGCTGGAACAAATCAAGTTGGATATTGTTATCATGATGGAATTGGAGTTGAAAAGGATGAACATCGAGCATTCATTTATCATCAAAAATCTGCAGAGATGGGAAACGTTAGTGCAACAAATAGTGTTGGATATTGTTATCATCATGGAATTGGAATTAAAAAAATTTGAAAAAAGCTTTTGAATTTTATTTGAAAGCAGCTAAAATGGGTAACGTTAGAGGAATGAAATACGCAGGTTATTGTTATCGAAACGGAATCGGAGCAAAAAAAAATCTAAAAGAAGCTGAATATTGGTTTAAAATGTAAGTTTTTTTCTTATTAGTAATTAAATATTAAATTGTACTAGTAATATTAATGCCTTGAAAATAGGGAAAGAAACAAGTTTCAAGGTAATATTTTGGTGTTTATCTATTTTTAATTTTTTTAAAAAAATAATTTTAACTTGTCGAAACAGAAATAGAGAAATTTACTTATTCTGACGTCGATTACAATATTAAAAAAATATTGGATGACGATAAGTACCAATTGCTATGGATTCCGTATGATAAATTCAAAGACGTTGAAAAGATTGGAAAAGGAGGGTTCGCGACCGTTTATTGTGCTAGGTGTCGAATATTCTTTAAGGGTGGTAACTATCAAGAATCATTCGCACTTAAAATAATTCATGATCAAGGCTTTTTTGATGAGGTATTAAAGATTTATCGAATTTTATTTAAAGTTTGAATTTGTGATTAATAGTTCGTTTTATAGTTGATAGCGTTTTGTGAGATCGGATATAAAAATCCTTCATTCTTAAAATGCTACGGATTATCGAAAGATAATTCAGGAAATTACATTCTTATTTTGGAATATGCGAAAAAAGGCTCTTTACGTAATAATCTTTATGAAGTATCACAAATGAAATGGGAAAAAAAATTAAATTTATTAAGTTGCATTACATCTGATCTCGAAGCAATCCATTCACAAGGAATAGAACATAGAGATCTTCATAGCGGAAATATTTTACAAAACGATATGGATAATGCATATATCGCAGATTTGGGACTTTCTAATACAAAGAAAGAAGTTTATGGAGTTTTACCTTATGTAGCTCCCGAAATTTTACAAGGAAAACCATATACTCAAGCAGCTGATATTTATGCATTGGGTATTATCATGACGGAAATATTAACCGGAAAAGGAGCTTTTGACGGCTATAATTTTGATGATGAACTCGCGATAAAAATCTGCAGCGGGTTACGACCAAAATTCTTCAACGAATCACCCAAATGTTATGTTAAATTAGCAAAACGATGTATGGACTCAGACCCGAAAAAACGACCTACCATCCGATGTGTTAACGCTTTAATTACTGTATGGGTTGAAGAAATAGAAAGCTCTGATTATGAAAATAAAATCAAAAAACAATTCTTAGACGCAGATAGCATAAATTTTAATTCCGAACCATCAAAACTTCTAGAATCTATGTACAGTAGCAAACTTATCAATACGCAAAAGATATCAAAAGCGTTAACAAGTGAGTCTGCAGTGAGTAATCCTATCAATTTTGTCGAATTCTCTTGATAATGACTTTGAAGTGTTGGAATTGAATTCTTGTGAAGAAGAGAAATATTGTTGAGCTTCCAAAATCTTGCGCGTATGATGGGCAGGTTTTTGTTAGTTTTAAAGTTATCATAATTGAAAAGGTTATTTATTAATATCGTTAGATTGGTTAGCTGTAGTAAAGATTTCAAGACACAAATTTAATATATCATCTAGAAAATATCGGGCAAAAGATTCCAAATATAAATTTATCTTTTTAGATATCAGTTATTAGAAAAAGCAGGTTATCAGATTTTCTGAATCAATTTTTATCAGCATTCACAGGATCATTTTTGGGAGGTTCAATATTATATTTATATTGTTACGGCCGAAACTGGAAATGGCTGAAAATGGAATTTTTAACTTTTTTAATATGAAATTTTCAAAAAATTTAGGGTGCATTTCTTTAGCTTTTTTTTTTAATAGTTAGGGTTTAGGGAGTATAAGCGGATTTATATTTTTACTAATTTTCAGCTTCACCACGATATATATTATCCTATAAAATTATTAATTTGGATTTTAGTATTGATATTTCATTGGTTACTGATAATTAATCAGTCTATGCATTTTTTGAAATAATTTTGATTAATTAAATTACGTATTTTTAAACTATAACAAATAATTTAAAAAAGTGAAACCAAGAATTTAGAATATTTTTTATATAGTGTTTTTTTTCAATTGCAGATTATTAAAACTTAGGTGTGTTGCTTAGAATACTAATGCACTGATAAAACTTATTGCAAAGAATATAAGATAAGTTTCAGTAATAAGAAACTAGCATAAGGTATAAAGAACATAAATGTAACAAAATCAGTGTTTCGGGCGAACCCAGTTTTGCAGATCAAATTAGGTGAAACTAGTTTCGGAGGGTTTCGGACTTATAAGGCGAAACGTTTCAGATTTGGAAAATAGTTACGCCCGAAACACTAAACAAAATAGGATAATCTTGTAAGATGGTGTAAATGCCTTCAAGAAAAAAATGTTATCGCTTATAAATATTCTGAAAATAAAGTGAGGATTAATTTATGTAAATGGTATGCTGTTTTTGGATATGCTGTTCAGTGTAAAAATTTTATGTATGGTAATTTCTTGTATTTTTTAAGTCATTATTTGGCTCGGTACTGTAAAAAGAATTTTTTTTTCGAGCCTAAACGCAATCAAATTAGCACAGGAATATTTGTTATTTAAAAAATAAATGCTACGTATTAATAAAATTTTATAGTATAGCCTTCAAATTTTGTATTTTCTTAAGTCTTAATGTAAATGGAATATAAGTTGCCATTTTTGACCTATCTTATTATCATTGTTCACAGTATCAATGACACTTTATCTTATATTTAGAAATGGGCATCAGATATTTTTTCGCTATTTTAGCGATTTCTATTATAGATGGTAAAAAAATCCGCAAAAAAAGCAAAAATAAGGAATGCTTGTTAATATACGTAAAAGATTAGTAAAAATGTTAAAGTAAAGCTTTTTATTATTTTACTGATGTTTCATAGAAATTTTGGTCATAACGATAAATTTCTAACTGCACTCATGTATGTATTGCATCATTACACTGCATACTCATATATAGCAAAAATTAACTTACAAAAAATTTTTAATTTTAATCCATAGGCAGACTTTCGTATGATTGGCAGTTTAAATCAAATTAATTTTACATTATTTATACAGTTTAAAGTACATTTTAAAAATAATAATAAACAAAAAAGAAGGATATAGAAAGTTTTATTGGGGTTGTAGTGCTCCACTATTAAAAATAATCAAAATTGTTTTTTGTTTTAGAGGAGTTAGCATGGTGATAACCTAATTCTATATATCTTTAAGAAGTCGCTATTATGCTAATTTTCTAAAACAAAAAAGAATTTTGATTATTTTTAATAGTGTAGTCCTACAACCCTAATAAAGCTTTCTATATCCTTCTTTTTTGTTTATTATTATTTTTAAAATGTACTTTAAACTGTATAAATAATGTAAAATTAATTTGATTTAAACTGCCAATCATATGATAGTCTGCCTATGAATTTTAATCTGTGTTTTGTCTTAGGTACGTACTAAAAGTTGATGGTGAAACTAATGCATTTCACCAGAAAATTGGTGCACCATCGGTGCACCGTTGAAGATTAGTTTCATCTATAACTCTAGTTTCACCATCGGTGCACCAGCTTCACCAGTTTCACCTGGTGCACCATCGGTGTACCATTGAAGATTAGTTTCACCTGCAACTCTAGTACGTACATTACGTACGTATATGTGAAAAATAATAATTTTTTCCATTTATGCGTCAATAAAATGTACATTTCGGCTTTCGACTTTGTGCTTAGAAAAAGTGATCAAAAAAATTCGCCTGTACTCATATAAAAGATAGACCAAAAAAGTCCATTTGAACTTTTCAGTCTTGGATATTCTTATAGTTATGGAGTTGGAGTTGAAAAGGATGATTCACTTATTATCAAAAATCTGAAGAGATGGGAATTACATCTGGAACATATATTGTTTGATATTGAAATCAGCATGGAATTGGAGTAGAAAAGGACGAACATAAGGCATTCACTTATTATCTAAAGTCTACAAATATGGGGTTCACTAAAGGAACATTAATGTTGGACACTGTTATAATCATGAAATTGGAGTTGAACGTGTAAGGCGTTCATTTACTATTAAAACTCTACTGAGATGAAGGACGTTGTGATGGAGTTGGAGCTTAAAAAGATAAACATAATGCATTCAGTTATTATTAAAATCTGCAGAAATTGAATTGGAGCCGAAAAAGACGAACATAAGCATCTGGTATGGGAAATGTGTAGGAACATATGGTCCTGGAGATTGTTATCGATACGGAATCGGAGTTGAAATAAACTTGAAAGATGACTTTGAACTGTATTTGAAATCATCTAAAATGGGTAGCTTTATAGGAGTGAAACTTGTTATTAAAAAGTATCAGAATAAAAAGAAGCTGAATATTGGTTTAAAATGTAAGCTTTTTTCTTAATTCTTAAATGTTAAATTACTAATAACCTGAAAATAGGGAAAGAAACAGCTTCAAGGTAATGTTTTTGTAGTTTAATTTTATTTTTAATTTTAATCGAAAAGTGAAAATTTCTTATTATGGTATCAATGGCAATGTCAAAAAAGTATTAGATGACGAGAAATATCTATTAATGTGGGTCTCGTATTATAAACCTAAAAATATTAAAGAAATTAGAAAAGGAGGATTTGCAACCGTTTATCATGCTATTTGTTGAATTCGTTATAAGAATTTTTATCATTCGGGCTTAAATAATTATGATAAACATTACAGAAGTCTGTATTTTTTTACCAAATATATTTATTTATATAGTCATATAATATATATATGTTATTTTAAATATATTTCAAATATTAATTTAATATATTATAAGATATTTTTAGTCCAATTCACATCTAACAACTCCTTCAGCAAAGGGAGATCCCCAAAACATCACTTTCCTACTACTATCACCAGCTGCCACAGAAAGTGAGTGAAAAAAAGTACCATCATCCTCAAATATTTTCTCTTTTACATAATTGTTACCATAAAATTTATCTTCTTTAGTATTGTTGCTAATTTTAATTACAGCAAATGAAGGTTTTTTAGATAGGTCTATTAAATCACTGGCGTATAAGAATAGTTCTAGACCATTATGCAACACTATTTTGATATATTGTATGAAATTCATATATTTCAAAAAAAGTTCTGTATCAATCTAAAAGACAATTAACTTTCACATCCACATACCTGCAAGATAAATTTCTCCTGTAACTGGATCCACATTGACGTTATCAACCGAATGTTCAACTTTAATGGTATCCAATAGCTTTAATTTATTATCGGGTTTTCTTTCATATATTAAAAGTTCTCCTGTACCACTAGTCCCAATAAAAATGCGGGAATAATCCCAATTTACATTAATTCCATTTGCTACAATTAATCCATTAACAACTATTTCTGTCGTATTTGTTATTGAAGAGTGAAAGACAACGTTACTCCACCTACGACATGTCAACACTATTTAAATTTACACAAATTATTAGTATAATTCATTAACCATATTTTAATAATTGAGCATAATGCTTACTTTCTAATTGTATTTTCCAATATGATTGACTATAAAAATCGTTTGTTGTATAAAACTCATCTTTTGATACTGGAACAACATTATTAGGATTATAAATTAAATCATGTTTAAATGTTTTTAAATGATTTAATTCAAATGTGTTTATTTTGTGCTTGAATAATTCAATCACACTTCCGGTGCGTTTGTGATTTATAATAAAAAAATAAAGATTATCGGGTTCTATAGGACTTTCATAAATTCCAAAACCATGAAGTACAAAGTCTTCTTCATCAGCAAAATTTTTGAGATTAAGAGGTGTTAGTTTATCTGTCTAATAAATCAAATTATATTATATAATTGATTAGAAATTGTAAAAACATATTCCAATATAACACAATTTGAAGATACCTTGATGTTGTAGACATAAAAAGTACCTCTTAAAGGAATACTTTTATATGTATCAATTGGTGGTGGCCATGAAAAATTTTTGTTACTCTGTCTATCTCCACATGCAAAGTAAGCGAGTCCAGATGCATGATGTATTTTAATATCTTCACATAACTTTGGCTTTAGACCTAGAGATGTTCAGGCTTGAGAATATATAGGCAATAAGTAAAAAAATTATATAGCATAAACTTACCTTCGAGGTACCGACATTTTCCTCCATTATATTTTTGAGCTGGTCCACGGTAATATCCACTTAATACTAAAATATCTTTATTTAAAGTATATACAATCGCTAGAAATGCAACCAAAATTGTTAAAGTAATCCTATTCATCATTGAGCTTCGGAAAAGGAAGTTACTAGATTTACGTATTTATTGTAACGGATTAAAATAAATGAAATATTGTACAATGTAAAAAATAGACAAGCTATCAAAAAATAAAAATTTTTTGAGGCGCATTTTTTAGGATTAGTGGATAGGGTAAAAAGTTAATTTTAGGGTTTGAATAGTTAAGTAGAAACCCTCATTTTATTTTTATCCGATTTCATTATGATCAGCGAATTTATTATAAGAACTAACAACCTTTGTGGATGTTCTATAGAATAGGTGGGCAAACTCCGCAACTCCGCTAAATATTTATTAATGATTACTAATCATTGGCGGAGTTTATTTTAAATGCCCATCTATTCTATAGAACATCCATTTTTGTCATTATTCCATTTCACAAACTTATGAAAAATTTCTTTTATATTTTTCTGTATTGTATTGCTATTTCTTATTATATTTATTGGTACTATTGATATGGAACGGGTTAGAACTAGTGTTTAAAATTCAAGATAAAAATCACTTGCACAGATCTACATTTTATTGTATATATGTTGTGCAACCTTCTTTTAAAAATTTACTTGCACGTTTAATGGATTTTTTAAATATTCAAAAAAAACTCTTAAACATGTACATCTTATTATTATGCATGCATGTCGATTTTAAACACTGGTTAGATATTGGTTCAAGATCATAGATCTTGGTTAGGACTAGTGATGCGAATGGCTCATCTTCACGGCTAAAACTGATCAAGCTGAGCCGATCTTTCGGCCTATCAAACAGAGCTATGCCGTTTACAAGCTGATCAACCTCAAGCCGAGCCGTTATTCTAATATATAGGTTACCTCAATAAAATTTATGTGATAAATTTTTTTTTTACCACCATTTATAATACTGTACAGTAGAAGTTTCCTCACAGACGGAGCATCAAGTACTACTCAATGTAAGTATACTTCATTTAAATACATTTTTTAAGTAGAAAATAGTAATGTATAGTAAAATATAAACGATAAAGTTTCTAATTAATTTATAGAAATTTCGGATAGTTTTCTATATACATTAGGTTTTAAAAGTGGTTTGGTAAAACTTTATCCGAACAACTAAATGTCATTGAGGTCACAATGGTAGGTGTGTTTATTATTGGCTACCGTATAAGTATGAAATAATGCTCGTGAATGTTATTTTGAAAATCGAGTCCTTCAAAAATAACTTATATGGTCTCGAATTAGCGCTCATGAGCGTCCTGAATTAACACATATCCTAATATAACACATAATTTACTGTTGCATAGATATACAGTCGATACTACATATGCGCACACTCTATAAGTGTACTTCACATGCTATAATGATAAGTGCATATTATTTGATCGGTCTAATGAAATTATTTAATATTAAATGTAGATTATTCTCCATTTTATTACCTAACAACGTGCATTTATTGAAGGTCGACTATATTGAATTTAGAAGATCTCCTCTTATTCGAAATAACGCACATGGGCGTATTCAAAATAACGCGCAGGTCAATTAATTAGCACACAGGTGGACGTTATTTCGCGCCTATACGGTAATAGTAATATGATATAAACCTATCGGCTCGCAGCCACGATCGGCTCCAAAGTTCGAGCCAATGCTTTATTAACAGTGGTAGCAGTGTCTAAAATTCAGATCGAAACTTACATGCAGATGTGTCATAGGTTTTAATTACAAAAGCCAACTACTAGTTGCACACTTGTGCATATAAATTTTCTTTTTATAAGCACTTATTTATTGTCTCTGAATGATACTAACATTATAAAATTACTATACCAAAATATATCTTATATTTTATATATTTACTTAATTTTTTGGAATATATCGGACATTTCCTCGAAATTTAAGCTCACCCTTACTCGTATTTTATGTTCATTAGCTTTCTTTTCGGAACTTTTCGGAATATCTTTATATTTATGTTTAGACTTTATGCAATAAAACTTTATAATTCTCTTGCGCGTTATTTTTGCGCAAGCTCCTTATTCAGCACACTTGTGCAAGTGCATTTAGAATTTTCCTTGCACAAAAAAAACTATTTGCGTATGCGCACCTTGTGCAAGTTAATTTTAACATTGTGTAGTAGGCTTGGAGCTGAGTAGTTTGCGTGCGTCTCGGCTCGGTCCGTTCTCATCACTAGTTAGTAGTCGATGTAGTCGACTACAGCGGCTTAGCTGACCGGCTAGCCGATCCAAAATTCTTTATTTCCTGACTGATAAATCATAATTATTGCTTAATTAAGCATAAAGTGTACAAATTATATAGAATTATATAGAATTATTGCAAGAAATACCCTAGCTGCACGTCATAGCAGATTCTCTATTTTAATTGGCTAAGAGCGACGATCAAAAATCTAGGCTGAAATTACTCAAAATCTTACTAATGAAATCACAGCTACCTATTAAGTGAAAATGTTCCTGGGCTAATTTTACCATAGTATAACTTATTTCCCCAAAAATTTCTATTTTTGTAATAAAAAAGTTAAAAACTTAATTCCGGCCAAAAATTACGTAACAATTGTATAATGCGGGCCAAAATTTTGTAGACCATGGCAGTTAGCTAATTAAACTTGGTGCAACAGCTAAGGTATTTTTATTGCAAGATAGTGAAAGACAGGCATGCTTTATCCAATAATTGAGCAGTTTTTTTGTCGATGATTTGTAAGAATACAAAATTTGATAATAATAAATAATCACGGATTGCAAAATTTTTATATTGTGACCTACATTTAAATTTTTATTATTGTCCTCTTAATATAAGATAGTGAGCGATTTTTATCTAAATATTTAATATATTTGTCTAATATTTTATATCTAATTATGTTAAATAGTTGAGCACAATCATGC